AATTTTTGTTATTTGTAATGTTAATAGATATGATATTATTAATAGTGTAAACAACCCAATAATACACATGTACATCTACAGTTAATAAGTCTAAAGATACGACAAAAATTTGGGCAAGTGTAACAGATTTACAACTCGTAAAATTCGGACAGCACTTCCGTACGATAAGACTTTTTTTTTTATTTTGAGAGAGAAGAGAAAAGAAAAAAAAATAAATGGACAGCTGATGTCGATGATGAAGACGATGTACAATTCACTTCAAGACTCAAATACCACTATATGATATTTTTCACTCGAAGACTCAAATACCACTATATGATATTTTACCGTAGATGTAGATGAAGACGATGTCACTTCAAGACTCAAATACCACTATATGATATTTTCCACTCGAAGACTCAAATACCACTATATGATATTACGACAACCGCACTAACCAGGTTGCTTTGTATAAACACGGCACCAATTTCAAAATTTCACCGTACAGAAATGTTTAACTTAACAGTATATTTATTTTTTTTTTACCCCTTTTTTTTTTTGAATAAATTGGTTTTATTTTTCTTTAAAACAATAAATATAAAAAAAAATATAATTGATAATAATAATGAATTTCCACTTTTTTTTTTAGTTTATATAAGATTATTATTTTTTTTATAAATATTAAATTATTATTTATTTTTTTTTTACATAATAAATATTAAAAATATTTATATAATGACGTTCAAGATGACTGCGCGAAACAAAAAAAAATATTAAAAAATAAAATTTCAAACAAAAAAATATTTATATAATGACGTTCAAGATGACTGCGCGAAACTAAAAAAAAAATATTAAAAATAAAATTTCAAACAAAAAAAAAATATTTCATGACTCATACAAAAAAAATAATAAAACTATTTATAACAATAATGTTTATGAATATTGAAAGTAAAGTATAAATTACGAGTCTACATTTAAAAATATTTTTCTATTATTTAAAAATTAAAGAGGGGGATTGGATATACTTCTGACTTTCACTAGTAATGTGATGATGGTATAAAATTTGGATCTAATATGTGAACCGACTTTTATCTTAATATTTTCTTCCATAAGAGACACTACCTTCCTTATTTTGATCATTTTTTTTTGAGTTCTTATTTGTTTTCGTTGCATAGGAATTTGCCCTCAGTTTATTCGAGTAATGTCCGAATAGCGATAAGAAATTTTCTCAATTCCGCATGGAAATTTATTCCTATCATGTCCAATTTCTTGCTTGCTTAAAGGGTACATTTTGCTTTTGCAAATAAAAAAAAATTCCTTGAGAAAGTTCTATCATCCTGGTCAGATCGGCTTTCATTTAACAATTCTCATCTCTAGCTAATAAGTTGAACGACGAACATAATATAAATAACATATTATCGTCAGCTAAATATTATAGTGTTCTATGCCACTTTTTTCCCTCAATAAATCAATTCTTCATTACTGTATTATAATACTTCTATTCTTCCATATCGCGAAAATGTTTAAAATATATAATTTAGAATAAATTCTTATTTTCTTTATTATGATGTGATGATCTCCTATTCAAAATACAAGAGAAAAATATGGGCATTCTTTTTTCTTTTTTTTTCCTTTTAAAAAATTAAATAAAAATTAGAGTATAAAAATATATCCAAACGATTTTATAATTGTTTTGTTTATTTTATTTGTATGGAGGATTTATGGATGAATTTTAATAAATAAGGGTATTAAATTGAAAGGTAAAGGAGGATAGATTAGAATAAAATTAATAGTTCTATTTTTAAATAAGTCAAATGAGTCCCTGAATGCTTCTGGCGTGACAGGTTTATTTTCGTGAGAGCGGGCCCCCGCAAGAAAAATTGGTCAGGATCCACTTCTGATCAGGATTGCATCATTGATCGGATATGATGCTAGTTAGACCTTCTAGACGACTCTTTGTTATTATAAAAAAAAATGTTTCTTCAAATTAGTTGGTTTAACAAAAATAAAATCTTTATTTTTAAGCATTTGAAATTGAAAAAAATGGAAAATTTTTTGTGCACAAAAGATTGGGGAAGCATCATATTTTTTGATCCTTCGAGATTAAAAATCTTTGAAGATTTTTTGACTTTGAGGCGTTTATAAAACCCTGCTTTTTAACTAATGCGATACCGCAAACATAAGCTTGTGTTCATATTATTTTTTTTGGAAGATTTCATAAGAAAAAGTAAAATTACGTCTTTTTTTATATAAATATCAAAAAAATACAAATCTCGTAAAACTGCGAAATTTGATGAATATAATTAAATAAACCTATAGGCTAAGCAAATAAGTTATAAACGTTACATAGATATATCCAATTTTGCAAAGAGGGGAGCGGGGGGTGAAACGCTAATTAGGTGGGAGTTTCCCCCATAAATTTTACTGGAAATCAATTCCACTTATTTTGTCCTTTAGATCTATTAGGATTTTTTGTAAAAATAATTTTTTGGGTTTTCACATTTTTTTAAATATTTGAATTAATCGTCATTTATAAAAATTATCAACTTTTACTAATTTTTCTTTCAAATTCTTCCTTGATTACATACATTTTTTAGAAAAAAAAGTGGGGTGCTATTTATGTGGGTGGGGGGGGGGATTTTTTACTAGATTAGAATGATATTTACGATAACAGGCAAATTTGTGATGTGGGGAAGGATCCCCCCTTGATTACGAGCCTGAAACGATATTAATTTCTTTAAAAACTTGACTTTATTTAATTATATATATCTATAGAATTTAAAAAAGAAGAAATAAAAAAACGATTTATAAATATATTATAAAAAATGTTAATTAAATAAGAAAGAAAATAATTTATAATTTAAAAATTAAATATATTATTTTTTTTCAAAAATATTTAACTCCCCCTTGCGTATCGATATTTGTTAAATGTTAATATTTTATTATGAAATTGAGTATTTTAATTTAGTTTATATTTGAAATATTAAATTATGATATTTTATAAAAAAAAATATTTAATTTTAAATATTGATTTTAATTTATGATTTGATTCTTAAAAATCGAAATTATGACTAATTTCATTATCTAAAACTGAACGCGTGTAATAATTTATGTTTTATATATTTATTTCTTCTACGATTAAATTTAACGGAACTCGGAACATTACGGAACGGGAACGAAACAGAACTACATTCTTAAAATGTAAAAATTTTTGAAAATTTTGATTTAATTCAAAAATAAAATTATTTGTAAAATAAAATTTAGTATTGTTTAGTCGACTTAGCCGAAAACTAACTCGAAGATGTGAACATCAACTTGAGTCGACTAGAGGAAGAATAGTTCCATGAACTTGAGTCGTCGAGAATAGTTCCATGAACTTGAGTCGTCGACTAGAGGACGAATAGTTCCATGAACTTGAGTCGTCGACTAGAGGACGAATAGTTCCATGAACTTGAGTCGTCGACTAGAGGACGAATAGTTCCATGAACTTGAGTACTAAAGGACGAAGATTTTAAATTAGTTATTATTGATAAAACATTTGTTTTTTATTTTTAACTTTAGATTTCTAACTTGAGTCGTTATTTATACGAAATATAATATACTTGAGTTGATTAGAGGACGAATAGTTCTATGAACTTGAGTCGTCGACCAGAGGACGAAGATTTGAAATTAGTTATTATTAATTAATAAAACATTTTTTTTTTTTACTTTAGTTTAGACTTCCAACTTGAGTCGTGAACAAGAGTTATATACTTATGTCGACTAGAGAACGAATAAATTATTGGGAATGGGGAAGATCGTGATTTAAAACAATTTAATATAATATAGCGATACACTTTATACCAACAAGATGTTTATTATAAAAATCGCGAAGGGGGTGGGGGGGGGGGTGTGTTACTGCTTAAAACCTGTAAAGGTTATTAATTTTTATTCATTACAGTAAAACCTCTCTAATTTGAGCAACTTTCGTAATTTGATTGAGAGTCCCAATTTTAAAACGGCTAACTCAATATTTTATTCAGAAATATATTACGCAAGGCTGAATATTTTGGCCACAAACGACCTAAAGGTTTGGACATTTATTAGCGAAATCTCATGGGTTAGGCAATATTTTCTGGCTAAAATATTGAGTTAGCCGTTTTTAAAAATCTGCTCAAATCGACCCGGAAATTAAATTTTCTATTAACTTTTAACTTGAAAAATCGGGCTGTTGAAAATTTACAATGGCATCCAAAAAGGAAATTTTTATCTAAAATTAGCAAAAATCAGTTGGGATTCTAAATAATTTTTTTATTTATTATAAATTGATTTAAGAAATAAAAAAAACTAATCACGATTATAGATATTCATTATTAGAGACCTGCAGAGGTGCCAGACTCGGATTATATTTTCAGGCTCGGCTTGGCCCGGATTTTTAAAAAAAATAATTTTCAGGTCCCGTCCGGATTTTTTATAACTAATAATGGCGATTTAAAGTAAACTCCCTGGTCCGGATATTTGCTAAAAAAAATTGGCCCGGTCCTCATATATTTGAAAAAGCGAAATATCGCCCAGCCCATGTATCTGGGCCAAGCTGAGTTCTCTTATGTACTATATAAAACAATTAAATTATAACAAGGTAAGGTAAGACCGGCTTATTTGCATTGCTATATGGAACCATGAATTGAATAGCTATGCAATTACTTCGATAAATAGCCATAGTAATAGCTTGCAAGGCCAAAAAAGCAAATTTTTTAAAAATAAAAAAATTCTTTTAGGATATAAATTTATTGGAAGGGCAAAGGTACATATTTTTTTTTCTTTAAAATGACATTTATCCCACATGAAATAATAATATTTCTAATTGGCCAACTTGAACCAATGGAAATGCTTCATTTAATCCCAATCTGAATTTATTTTGGATCACTTGCAATTTATCATCGTCAAACAATTACCTATTTTAATCATGAATGAATTAATCGTATTTTATAAAAAATATTAGCAACAATCTATTATTTTTTTATTTTCTTAAAAAATACAAGAAAAATATGAAGGAATTGAACGAAATTTTGTGGCCCGAAATCGCTAAAATGGTTCAAGCTGAAATTCAGGAGGCTAGAACTCAAGGAATCGAAATAATTTTCATAGAAGCCGCTTTATTAATTCAAGCTGGTTGGCTCCAACATGTCCACGAGTTGTGGGTCACGTTTGTTCCCAAAAAATTAGTTAATAATTTATTTATTAGAAGGGAATCAATTTTTTTTAAAAAAATAACCGTTCACAATCGGTATTTATTTCTCAATATTTTACTATATATTGTAAAAAATTTGGCCCTTTAGAGGCTTGCCAATAATTCTCCAAGAACGTTATGGCTTAATTTATTTCCCTGTTAACGTAACATGGGCGGAGTCGAGTTATTGAAGGGGGTTTGTTCTGTCTCTCTCTTCAAATTTATACATTTTTGTGATATAATAAATCAATTACATTATTTTTATTTGTGAAAGAAATTTAAAATCGCTTCTTGTTGTTAAAAGTATAAACTGGATATCGAAATAATTTATGGCGGTTTTGGTTCTGAATTTTTTATTAAAATCGTTTATTTTTTCAGATATTAAACGGTTATAGTATAATCAGAGACCTGCAGGCCCTCTTATTTTAATTTTTTTTAGATATACCCGGGCTGAGCCTGAAAATATAAAACCCAGGCCGGGTCGAAAAAATCTTTTTTTTAAAAAAAAATCAGGCCGGGCCTTTCAAATGATACCTCTCTGTAGGTCTCTGATTATAATGTAATTATATGCTAGTATAATGATCAAAGGTCTGCAATACCCTTACCCTACCAGAAAATCTTACTCCCCGTACCCGTGGGTGGGGTCATATTTTTATTTTTATCCCTAGAGTTGAGCGGAAACTTTTTTCCCAGATGGGCTAGGGTTTGGAGACGTTTTTTTTACAATTTATTTATCCAGTGATATGATTGTACACTATTTTACAATTTCTTTCATTTTTAGAATATTTCTTACAAACATAACGAAAAATAAATAAATTTTAGGGAGATTATTATATATTCTTGGATCAGGTAGGAAATAAGGAATTAACATTATGTTCTGGGTTGAGTCGAGTTGGGTCAAAAAAATGCTTTTCTCCCTAATGGGGATTGGGTCAAGAAAATATCTCAAATTTATATAAAAAATAATAAAATATTTTCCTAATGAATTTTGTTAAGGAGGGGATCATATTTATATGGTAATTTTTGCCCTTAATTTTTTTAAAATTTTAAATTATTATTAAAAAGAATTTATTTTATTAACTGTGGGGGAATGTAGGGAACCTAATTTTTAAAAAAAATTAACTTTAAAATGATATTTACGATATCTCACAAATTTCCTAAAGGGGGGAGTGGGTGAGGTTCATACCTTCAATTGGCTATGCCTATGATTTACCTTAGTACCTTGTATATATAATATATTTGAACAAAAAAGAAAGAATGTAAAGTAGAAAATACTCTTTAAAATAATAATAAAAATCTTCAAAGATTTTGATAACCGAAGATTTTTTTAAATGAACCATTTTTTTAGAAACGGAGATTTTTGTTTTTAAAAGTAGATTTATTTTTTCGACGCTCAAACATTTTTTTGATCAAATTTTACCTAAAATTCTAAATTCTTTTTTTTCTTGAATATAAAAATAATCTTTCATGATAAAATCATAAATTTTTTTAAAAAAATAATTTTAGTCCTTCTAAAAAAATATTCAACTGTTATCTTTAAAGATTTTTTGATCAAAAACTTGAAAACTCTGTTGCAAATTAAACGATGGTGGATAATAATTAAGGAAGGAATCAAATTAGATATTTCATTATTTCGATTTTGTCTTGATCGTAATCAGCATTAACACCGCCATTACTTGAATCGAAAGAATGTATTATTATGTTTTCGCAATATTTACCAACTAGAACCCCTTTGAATAATAGTTGAATAATGACTTTAGATTGGCTAATCCCGCTCAATCTAAAGACACCCGAAGGAAATTCGTTAAACATACTATAAATTTTCAACAACAAAAAAAACCCCGAAACAGAGACCATATTTATTATTATTTGGCTAAAAACTATATTTCGCCATTTTTTTTTAGCAGAATGAAAAAAATGGCAATTATTCAACCAATTATAAATGAATACCATTACATGTTTATTTTATATTACAATTATTGAAATTATCAAAAATTCAATATTATAAAGGCGAATCAAAAATATTAAAGGCAATATAAATTTAATTTTGCAAATCTCGTTGCTAGGGGATGGCCTTAGGGAGATAGAATTAGCAAAACTGAGCAATATGATGATCATATATTATACGTGTATAAAATATAAAAAAAAGGCCATCGAACGGCTGATCGAAAGAAACAAAATGAGCTACGATCAAGCGCTAGAAAGGATCAATGCTCAGCCCGATAACAAGTATTTTATCGATTTCGGCGATGTTTTATTGACGTCGCAATACGATGACGCGTTTACGGAAAAATTGGTTAGTTTTTTTTCCTTTTCACTTTGTGTGTTTAATTAACTCAATTTTTTGAGAGATAGAGGATAGCGGAAATATTCAAAGATCGAAATTTTTTTGATAGACATTAAAAATATTTATATGATTGACTGAATGAATAGTGATTACCATAAAATAAAAAAATTCAACAATACTTTTTTTTAAAAAAAGGCACCTAATTAACCCCTTGAATTTTTTAAACAATTTATTTTTTTGAATATAAATTTAATAATACAAAAGTTCGCCGCAAAAATTGAATATTCGCGGGGTAGGGTATGTATTCTAGATATAGTTAGAATACTATTCCGACACAATCAGGTATGTTTAAGGTTTAAAAAAAATGCGAGTTTAAATTATATAAGTTTCAATTGCCTACGGTATATGATATAGAGAAGATGTGTTTTTTTTAGATTGCTGAAAATGAGGGAGGGAGGGGGGGGGGTCAATCTATTATTAGTTTTAGTTGGATATCAAGCAAAGTGCCTTTACAACAGCTCGAAATTAACTTAAATTTTGGGTTTTTATAAAAAAAAGACCCTATTAGCGTTTCTACAAGTTTTTCCTCTCGAGGATCTGAAATTCGAAACTGTTTAAAATTGGGAAACTTTTTAAATTATATATATATCATTATCTTGTAAAGAGTAATATGCCATTTTTTGGCCAAGTATCGAGGCTTTGGTGATATTTTTTGATAAAATTTTGATTTAAAAAAAATCGGTGATATATAAGTTTTAAACGCTAGTAACCCCTCATTCATAGTTAGCGCGAATTCGTAGCGAATTATACAGAATATGCTGTATTTTTGAGTTCTCCGACGCGAATTCATTCTAACTTGAATTAAAACTTATTTCAAAGTTGCGAAAATATAATTTTCAAACTTATTTAGCATAAGTAGCTTTGAAATGAAAGGATACTTTACAAATTATGCTATTTAATTCTAAACCAGAATCAAAATGTTATAAGTATTATATAGGTCTCCTGGGATCCCCGAAATTCAAAACGCATCAAAAGTGATATAAATTGCCTATCACACATTTGTGTAAGTGTATGTATACTAAATATATTTCTTTATCTTTTTTTAAAAAAAAATTATTATAAAAGGCCTGCAAAGCTTGGAAATTACTCGTTGAGAGAATACGTAAATTACGCGACTAATTCCTGTTGGAATAATTTTGGATCACAATAATATTTTATAACACTTTGTAAAAATTTGTCTTTATTGTTTTGTATGAATTAAATAAAATACACTTTAAAAAAAAAGGATTATATTTTTCAAATACTCGTAAAAGGATATAATTTATTAAAAACATTTTTTATTTGATTGTTTTTCAATTTACTTTTTTTTTAATTAAAAAGAAAATCTTAAAATATACAACTGATAAATATGGGGGGGGGGGTGGAGGGTGTGTGTATAAAATATTTTATCCATCACCCTCACCCAAGTTTTTAATATTGTCTTTCTCCTGTAGACTGTTGTAGAAAGAGATGAGTTTCTTCACATATTTTTCTTGTCTTCTATTTTCAAGGTTTTTCACCTATTTTAATTTTATGAATTGAATTATATTTGTTTTAAAAAATTATTTATTTTTTTTTACCCTCTTTATATTATCTTGTTTCTCCGTGTTCTCAAATTTGCTGCGAAGGTTCTTAAAATTTTGTGATGGAATGACTTTGACACCTAATAAATATTAACGATTAGTTTGTACTATGATAAATATCATTTAAATTTTATAATAATTGGTATTAAAGATATGCACAACGGTTTATTTAAAATAAGTGGGGTCGGTCCAGGAATATCATTTTTAAAAAATGAAATTAAACTTAGAAGATATCATTAAAAACGGATTGGTTCTTAATCTTTGATAAGTACCACACATTATAACCGCTCATTTAACCATATTTTATCTTTTAAATCAGTAGATTGCTATCACCAGATATTTATATCGATTATGAGCAACGAATGACAAATTGCAATAAACTAAAAATAGATTAATTTTTGTTTTGTGCTATGTCCAAAATCTCTTAAAAAATATTCGAAAAGTTTTAAAGACTCTTAAGTTTTGATATTTTAATCAACTCACTACATGTTAAATTTTTAAAGTTTTATAGAATTATTATTTATTTGAAAGTTTTTGAATCGAATTTTTTGATATATTACCTTTATTACAAATAAAATTTAAGATAATGAATCGTTCGATTATTTTCATAGTTAGCACTCGACAAATTCTGAAACCTACATTTGGACCCACTTTCTTGGAATTTGTAGGAAACCGAAAGTAGCCCTATTTTAAAAAATGGGAGCCCCCGGTTATACCAAAAATTTTTAAGAAACTGGAAATAGTGATTCTACATTGTAATTCTTTCTACAAAATTTATTCACTGTTTAAATTTTAATAAAACCTGGAATTATAGAGAATAAATATTTTTAGAAACCGGGAACAAATCTCTTAGTAAAAAAAGAAAAGTTCAGATTCCAAACACTTTGATTTTCAAAAGCTGAAATCTATCATATTAATAAGATTATACCATTGTTTGTCAATGTAGTGTCGCTTCTATCCGTTATAGTGCTATATGAACTACTCACCATACTAGGTTGGTAATTACATCTGTCTTTTAGGCAGTTGGTACATAAAATGCTTTCTTGTTTTTTCTGAAACGGATTTAACTTTTCTGGATTCAGGTGTAAATTCAGCACCTTATTTTTTTCTGGGTCTTTACACTGCTCCAAACGCACATACCCGCTAATGTGTGCTATGTACGGAGTTGAGTTTCTATTTTTTTTTGTTTATAAATAAATATACAATTGAAAAAAATATTATTTATACGAAAAATATTGTACAAAATCTTTTGTAAGCGCGACTTTTCTCCTCATCGCGACGTGCATAATAAAAAATCAGGTAAATAAATGGTGTTGAATGATGCGATGAGAATGATTGTTATCCCGAAATCAGCTGTTATATACATTTAACGATTCTCATCGCATCACTTTGACTCTATTTGAGTCCTAAATCAGGGTTGTTGTCGTAAGATCGACATTATATTCAATATAAAATTATATAATTTCATACTTAATCATCATAGAATATTTTTGATAGTTCCTTTTTTAAAAAAAATAAATTTTATTATGTTATGTTCTAAAAGAACATTCTAAAACTCTTTAACATAGATTTCAAATAAATTTGTTGTTGTCATAAGTTTGTCTTAGTTTAAAATCGGTTTCTGTGGCGGTTTTATCTTTACAATCAATTCGCGGTTCGATCATGAAATTGACCATCTGTTCGAGTAGGACAGATAGAGTAAAAATTATTTTTTTTAATGATAGATTTCCAAACAATTCCCATTATATAAATTTCTCTTTTGGTCGGAATTATTTTTTTATTTTGAGGGATAAGGTTTTGAAATCTGAGGAGTGTATTCAACAAGGGGATCCTTTTGGCGATGTTCTCTTTTGCCTATATATTCATGACATCGTTTCTAATATCAAGTCCAAATGCAAACTTGACCTTAACCTTTGGTACCTGAAAGACCAAATTCTATGGTCCTATCACTTATGTGTAAAAGGTCATTTATTTATTAATTAATTAATCTAAAGCTATTAGTCTTGTTTTAAATATAAATAAAACAGAAAATCCCCATTAGATATTTTTAATTGTTTTAAGGTTATTGATTTGGAGTCGAGACAATCTCCCTTTTAGGATCTCCGTTAAATACTCCATCCATAACAGCATTCATAGAGAAAGCCACTTTTGGTTTAACCAATTTGGAAGCTATTTGCGTAATTCCTGCCCATCAAGATAAGCAAATCGCTATACTTCCTATATACATCTTTTTAGTGCCTCATCTTCATTTTTGAACCACTCCTTCCTTTTACCCCTAGACCAGAAAATTAAAAACTTACTAGAGGTTATCATAAACATTTTGCACAATTTCTGACCAATCAAGGTAGCTTAGGAATTTCCCTTCTTAATTTAGTTTCTTTGTCAGTCTTCCTTTCTGTTGTGATAAATTAGATTTAAATGTTTATAATTTTACTGTTTTGAGGTGATATTTTCATACTATAATATGTTCAATTGATTTTAAAAGTTTTATATTTTTACTGTTCTGAGGCAATATTTTGATATAATAAATAAAAAACATACAATTTACTTTTTTAGATAAGAATTTTTTGACTGTGATATTATAAAACTTTCGTATTTTTTTATTCGCAAATAAAATTTATTTTGCATATTCGTTATAAAAATAAAATCACTATCAACCTTGTTAATTCATTTCTATCAATTCGAACCCAATACGCATATTTTAAACCCTCCAAAATCTTTACACTTTCTTCCTGCGAAGAAGTTATAGGTAAGCTTCTGAGTGGTAGAAATAGTCTGTTTGATAAAGCCTGTGACTTATGAAGGAAATATTTATGCCCTTTATCTATTCTACAGTCCTCGACTTAAAGAAATTTTTTTAACCCTCTTCTGGCTAACTTTAAGAAATTGACAGAGGCTAACCCCTCATTTCAAGATACTCCAATCCTCAAATACTTGGAACAAAAATCTGGCCATGAAGAGCTTGAAGCTCACCTTTGTGCCAATCTTGGTCTTTTGCTAACCAATGAGGAGGTGAGGGTGACAATAGAGTATAAATTAGGCTGTGATCTATGTGTACCCCATAAATGTAAAGGATGTAGGAAAGACTATGGTTTAACCTATTATATTCTAAAGGACCATTCAGTCGTCATTGTGCCATTTACTCTATAATTTCGAACAAATTAGGGTTTGCCAACTAACCAAACCAGTGGCGTTGCTAGGAGGGGGCACAGGGTCTCGAGCTCCCCAAAAAATTTGAATAGTCCCCTGTAGCAAAAAATTTTTTTTTAATGGCTCCTTAATATCTCATTGAACTAAAAAAAATTTTTTTGATTGCCCACTGAATGATTTCTTTTATAATTCACTAAGTAATATATTGATTTAATTTTATTATTTAGAAATTAATAAGACTATTTAAATTTTTATTAAATGAATATTATTTTAATTATTAGATTAGATTAATATATATAAATTATATTTTCACTATGTCAGCTTGCAATCAAATTCTGTATTAATAATATAATATCAATAACTTACTAAATATTAATTTAGATTTAACAGTTGAAGTTTAATTGACTTTTATAATTTTAGTTATTATATAACCCTAATTAATATTTATAATCATATATTATTTGAAAATTAACAAATTAGATATTGTAATTAGCCGAGTTCAAAATGACTAATCAACTGTATTTTATTTTAAAATTTTATTATCATACCTATTCCTAAAAATATTTTCTAGGTTCAAATAAGTATAAGAGATTTCTTTATAAAAAGTAAGTAGACATATCGTTTATAATTCTCTACAATATACAGTTGTTTATAAAATATTAGATATAATGCCACTTTTATAGACATATTTGACAGTAATATAATATTTTACAGTTAATATTATAATAAATTTTACTAATAAATGCCTTTGATAATAAATTTTTTTTTTTCTCTTTTAGTTTTCACCTTTTTTGGTGGTAAGCTCCTTCAACATCTCTCTCCACTTTATGTTATTCATACAATCTCTTTTATCTATTTTATACTTCTTTATATTGGCTCTAACTTTATGGCCCCATTGAAGTTTTGGCCTTCCTCTTTTACGTTTACCCATCACTTCCAAACTTTCAACTTTATTTCCTATGTAGTTCATAGGCCTTCTCCCTAAGTCTGTTTTCCATTAACTTAGTCTTAATGGGCACTACCTTTAAACTATTTAGTATTCTTGTACTGCGCACCTTATCCTTTCTTGTTACCCCAGCAATCATCCTCAGCATTCTCATCTCCAAAATTTGTAGACTTCTCTCGTCTGATTCTTTGGTTGGCCATGTTTCCGAACTATATAGAATAGTTGGTTGTACTATGGAACTGTAAATTTTTCCCTTTAATATTGTGTGGGATTCTTTTGTCAAATAGCACTCCAGATAAAGATCTCCACTTTAACCACCCTTGATTCATCTTACTTAGCCTAGTGGAGCCCAAATATTTGCAGCTTTCAATTGCGGATATCTGCCAATCATTTATATCAATACTCTCCGTTTCATCTCCTCCTATCACCATATACTCCGTCTTTTCTCTATTTACTTTTAATCCGTGCGTTTCTAGGATATTTATCCAATTCACTAACCTTTCTTTCATTTCATCCTTGGATTCGGCAGGTATCACAATATCATCTGCAAATATCATATTCCACAGGACTGTTTGAGGTATAGACTGTGCTAATACATCTATTACTGTAATGAAGAGAAGTGGGCTGAGAGCCGACCCTTGATGAACTCCTTCGGCTATTGTGAAGCCTGCTGAAGTACCTGTTGTGCTACGGACCATTGTTGTATGTCCCATATACATATCCTGTATTATTCTTATATATTTTTCGGGAACTTTTTTGTGGCGTAGCGCCCACCAGATAAGTTTTCTTGGGATTCTATCGAAGGCCTTTTCTAGATCGAGAAAGACCATGTGTAGCTTTTTGTTCTTTTCCCTGTATTTTTCACTCATTTGCCTAATTGCATGGATAGCATCGGTTGTTGATCTTCCAGGCATAAAGCCAAACTGTGTCTCTCCTATTTCGATTATATCTCTTAATCTTTTTTCTATTATTTTTTCGTATAGTTTTAGACAGTGTGACATTAGTTTTATGCCCCTGTAATTTTGACAATTGTGTGGATCCCCTTTATTTTTGAAGATAGGAACTAGATAGCTCTGCCTCCATTTTTGGGGAACCTCTTCATTTCCAAGTATTTTATTGTACAGATTTGTGAGGAGATGTATTCCATCATCTCCTAGTGCTTTAAGGCTTTCTATTGGAATATTGTCTGGACCCCTAGCTTTGTTGTTTTTCATATGCTTGAGGCATGTGATTATTTCTTGTTCTGTTATAGGTTGTACAAGGTTTTGACAAGGGGAGTGTTCGTCGAGATGCAATATGTGGGAATTAAAGTTGAGAAGCTCCTGAAAATATTCTTTCCATCTATTCATTATTTCTTTTTCCTTTATTATCAATTTCCCATCTTTATTTTTGATTACTTTCGGAGCTCCGTTTATATCCCTAGAGTTCTTTTCTCGCTGTTTGGCTAATCTGTATATTTTATTTTGCCCTTCTTTGGTATGTAGATCTTCGTTCATCGTATGCCATAGATTTGGCCCTAGCCACCACCTTTGTAGCTCATCTCTTGGATAAATTGTTACTTAACTTGTCATCTGCATTTTTAGATTTGTACCATATTTTATAAAGGGCTTTTTTCTCCTGTATAGTAGTTTGTACCTCTTGATTCCACCACCATAGTTCTTTGTGTGATTTGTTGCCTCCTCTTGTCAAGCCTAGCGTCGATTTTGCAGTGTCTATTAATCTGGATGAAAGGTCTGTCCAGATTTTTTCACTGACTTGTGAGCAATTTATTGTTTCAATGTTTGCATTGATTGCAAAGGCATCTGTCATTGTTTTTAATTTGCCCCATTTGATGCATGGTTCCAGTTTTATCTTATTTTGAGTGGATTTATTTGAGATTTGTAAATCCATGATTAGTAGCTTGTGTTGCGCGGCGATATCTTCTCCTGGGATGACTTTGCAGTCTATTACATCTTTTAATCTTCTGCGAGAGATTAGCATGTAATCTATCTGTGTTTTCCTAGTACCACTTTCATATGTTATTAAATGACTGTCTTTTTTCCTATAGTAGGTGTTGGTTAAGGCAAGGTCGAAGGCTTGCGCAAATTTCAGTACGTGCTCTCCTTCATCATTTCTTTCTCCGTATCCAAAACCACCATGATGCCTTTTGTAGCTATCTCTTGCTTTCCCCACATGCGCATTTAAGTCACCACCAATTATGACTAAGTCATCCTTAGGGATTTCCATTACAGCTTCATCAAGGATAGCTCTAAAGTCATCTTTCTCATCTTCCTTGCAACCCGTTTGAGGAGCATATACTGATAGGATGTGTAGTATTGATTGACCAATGCAGAGTTTTATCTTCATTAGTCTATCAGAGATCCTGTTGACTTCTACTACTGAAGAGGTTAG